CGCCTCTTCCTGTCCCCTGGGAAATAAAGTCCCGCCCCCGCCCAGTGCACGCCGGGAGTCGTAGTACGTAACCCGCCTCAACGCGCTTGCGCTATGAGGGATTCCGCAGTGGCCGCTGGGAGGTGTAGTCTCTTCGTGCTTTCTTTTCTTCTTCCCGAAAGAACAACTAAGAAGTTACCAGGGATTTGCATCTGAGAGACAAGGATTGGAGAAACCTGTGAATCTATTCCCGAGGGCAGCTCTATTCTCAGCGACTCCCCGCGGGTGTCCAGAGCATTTCTTATCCGAAGTGCCATGTTCAATCCTCTGTGTAGTACTACTGTACTTTCTCATGTGATTACCGTGCCTTGTTTTCCTCGTCTCCAAAATGAGAAAAGTAACCCATCTGCAGGGACAGCACGCACGGAGACGTCTGAGAAACCTGAGAAGGGCTCATCTCATGAGAACCAAAGAGGGCTTTCATGCGGACCTGCTTCCACCTCAGCTTCCACACAGACAAGTTCCTAAGTCTTACTCTTTCTTAAATTCAACCCTCCCTCGTGCCTCCTCTAGTGCCAAAATTAAAAAGCACCGGTCTGGACTCCGAGAGCTTGCCAGATGGAGGACTTGGAAAGTGCTACTGTTTTTAGACACGACAAAACTCCACTCTGGTGCTACGGAAGACACAACTGAGTGGGAAGAGATTTGGGTGCTGGGGTTACATCAAGTTCGGTTCAAATCCGGACTCTAGTACTTAAGCTCGTTGTGTAGGCTTCGACTCTAATTTTCCTCATATGTGAAATGGATACTGCGCCGGGGACATGGCTCAGGGGTAGAGTGCTTGCCTGGCATGCACAGCGCTCTGGATTGTACCCCCAACACCAAAAAAGAAAAAGAAAATGGACATAATTCCTCCATTTGTCCATCCCGTTGACAGCCTGCCGTGTGTCCGGCGCTGAGTCAGACTAGGTGCACAGTGGTGAGAAAAACAGTCATGACCTGCTCTCAGGACGCGTTTGTTCGGTAGGGCTTACCGTGAAGGGTAAATGAAATAATTCCGACAATTAGCACATAATGATGACGGCCCTTTCCTCCATACTCCGGGCGGTGACTGAAGGCAGTAGCTTAAACAAGCAGGGACCGCATTAAAAAGCAGCCACTGTCTGCTCTCACCACTGCTCTCCAAGTCCCCCGTGTAGCAAGTGCTCAAAGTCCAGACTACGGTGGGTTTCCAAAGCTTGGTTTTATTGTCATTGAGAGCCATATAATTCCTTCTTGGAACTGACTTCTGTTCTGTGTATCATAGGATATTTAGCAACATCCCTGGCCTCTACCCACTAGATGCCAGTAGCACACCACCGCCCCTCAGGCATGACAAACAAAGATGCCTCCAGACATTGCCACATGTCTCCTGAGGCAGAAAGTCACCCACAGTTGAGATCTAGGGGGAGGAAGGACAGGAGGGTTGGACTTGCTGAATGGTCTAGGAATAAGCTAGAAACTGTAAACAGACCCATAACATCTTCCCTCTCCAAATAGTTTAACCTGCTGGTGGACATCCAAAGTGACAGGAAGTTCTTGGCGAGCTGAGAATTTCCCTTTCTCCGCAGTCATGCTATTGACTCCTGCATGAAATACCATCTTGGCATGGATCTCTCACCCTCTCAAGAAGCTTATGCGTTTCATGCTGCCTTTTAACACCCTCTCCCTTGTACTTTGCTTTTTTTCCAAAGTGAACAAGATCTCCAGTGAGGTCACAAGCTGGAAAATTCTGCCAGCTTTTTCAAATATTACACTTGGCACAACATTTAAGAAATTGATGTTCCATCAAGTTCAGGGAGACCCAAAATGAAAGGTATTCACAAACCACAGGAGATTTTTTTTTTTTTAAGCTTTGAAAAAGGAACTGCTTTTTCAGCTGTTGGCTAGGTCATTTCAGTTCTGGGCTTTCCCATTGGGTACTGGTAACAACCACCCCGTATCCTCAATAAGGAACATGTTGGGTAGGGGTGGGAAGAAATTATTTAAAAGAAAATACCACTCACTCAGAACATCTGTTCCCTAGGGTAGAAATCATTAGGTTGAAAGTTAGTTTCCACCACTTACAGAACGCTTTTAAATTTTAGATTCCTCATTGCCAAGAACTACCCTAGGTATTCAAGAGATGGTTTTTGTGAAAATAAAAGTCCACTTTACCCAGTAGTAAGTAATCCTAAGTGACATGCAATCCAGAAAAGTAGTACGACTGAAAATACACATGAATTCAAGATGGATTTAATTCCACAGATAGAGAGCCAAAGCAGGTCAGTAAGCGGCCAGATAGGTATGTGGGGCCTGTATCTGGCCTCTCACCGCTGACTTCTAGGTGACTGAGCCAGCTTTTTTAGAGTCATGGCCAAGAGGCAGATGGGGAGATAGAAAGTAGCAAAAAGTCACCCAAAGGTCACCTGAGAACAAGAGAGGTAGAGGTGTAGTGGGTGCTGGGTAGTGAGTAATGTTCAGGGCCACTTTAGGCACAGAAAGCTCCATCTTCTCTTCGAAGCAGCTGAGAAGCATTCCTTCTCCTCGCTCTGGCTCCCTCCTGAAGGCCTTGCTTGGTCACAAGCCACCAGGGCCTCCCACAGCACAAAGCACAGGGCTTTATCCTCAGGAGAGTGATGTTACCCACAAGCCATCCCTTAGCACAATCCTCAGGCTGAGGGAACCCAGAGGCGCAGAGGAATTCAGTTTCACTACAAACGTAGGTGGCAGGTTGGAGAAAGCCAGGCTACCAAAGTCCATTGAAAAAAGAACCTGGAGGGCTGGGGATTTAGCTCAGTGGCACAGCACCTGCCTGGCAAGCACAAGGTCGTGAGTTAGATTCCCGGTACGGGGGTGGGGTGGGGGGGGTATTTTGGGGCTGAGGATTTAGCTCAGCAGCACAGCGCCTGGTGGCAAGCACAAGGTCGTGAGTTCAATTCCCAGTACCTGAAGAAAACACACACAAAAATAAAACGAAACAAAACAAAAGCCTGAACGTAACTCGGAGTCTCTGTTCTGTCTGTGCTCTTGCTTACATCAGTCCGTGTCTCCCGCCCCGCCCTCCCTGCCACCCCCCTCCATGCAAAGTGGAAAAGTCCCCCAGCGCTGTCACAGTCCCATCCTGCTGGGGACAGTCTGCCTTCTTCAGGGAGCAGGCAAGGCTCTCAACTTTTAGGATTCTTTTCCCCACATAGTCACTTTCATGGGGTGCTGGGGCCTGAACCCAGGGCCCCCGGCAGGACAGGCAAGTGCTCTACACTGAGCTGCATCCTCAGCCTTCCTGCGCTGTTTACTACATGCTAATTCCCAGGCGTTTCATTTCAACATTCATAACAATGAGGCTGGTGTATTTTCTCTTTTCTGCAGAGGGGAGAGAGGGTGGGGGGCTTCCCTGAACCTGCAAAATGATTACCGTATTGAGGGTGTTTCTGAAATTCTCTTTAAGGGTGGGGGTTTTCCAATACTCAAGGTTGGGAATGGGGGCGATGGAGTTCTGAGGGCTAAATAAGCACTATGACAGTAATCTACGCCTCCCACCCCGAACACGGAGCGCTGCCTCCTCCCTGTCCTTTCCCCAGGGCCCAGAAACGTGAAGAGGAGCACAAAACCTTCTCTCTGCCCAGTGAGTCCGCCTTGCCTAACTTCATGCGTAAGCTCTC